GCAACATGGAGAAGTCATGGGATAATCTTTTCAGCCATGTCTCTACCTCTGAGAAAAGCTATTGACACCTAGACACATTTCCACAGATCTTCTCCAGCCTCTTTTTGCCAAATACATTTCCCTATGTTCACATGCATGGGAATAATTGGCTATGAATACAGTCACCTCAGGTGTCAGAGACTGGAGTATCTACTCCTTAGTTAGCAAGGAACACTGTATGTAGATTCCTTTGTTATATCTGAAATATAATGCCTGCTATTAGTCATTGCATATGGTTTCTCAGTATCTGGGTCTTCCCACCCATCCTTCTTTACTTCCTCATCATCTTTTATTGCTGAAGAACATTGTGTGTGTTCATTACAGCATAATGATTATCTAGCTATTAACAAGCGCTGAGACAACTGGACTCCCATTGTCATCATTTTTCCATGCAATGGTCCAAATACTTATTGCTTTAATGACAGTTTTATACCTTTACCAAAATGAAGTTATTTCCTGACCCAGTATTCATATAGTGATATGAAGCTTCCCACACAAGCATACATGGAAAGAAAACAACAACAACAAAAAAAAAACATACTTTCCAAGCCAAATTCTTTGTTTCCTTCTCAATCTACAAGTCAGAGATCATTTTGTCTCTTACTTTCTTAAGCAAATATGAATAGTTACTAACACCAATATTTTACAGATAAGACAAGATAATAGAGAGCATTATGTCTTTTTCAGGCCATTCTTGCTGAGACTTAATAGAGGTAATACCTGCATGACACAAAATCCTCACATTTTGGATGCAATGGAATAATGCAGCATTGACCACCAGATCAAGAGGTCACATAGTGTTTATCCAGTTCTAGCACAAACAGCAAGATCTGTGAGCACTGACTTAGTGTATGAAGGTAACAGTCCAACTATCAAGAGAAGTGGAGAAGACAACTGCATATCTGTTTGCCCTCAATGACACATTCACTAGCACAACAGCAGATATTCCATATTTTTCATCTTCTCCTACAGATTATTCTAAATTCAGAAGGAAAAAAATGCCCTTACTTTAGCATCTCATTTCATTAAAAAAAAAAAAAAAAAAAACCAGCCTTTGGAAAAAACAGTCTTGTCTACTTGCAGTTGTGAATTTGGAATTTGGAGCCAATGTTCACTGTTTCTCTGCCTAGAAAAAAATGCATTCATACACATTATTTTTCACAAATTCCAGTCTTGTTCTATTCCCATCTAAAGTTTCAGATATGCATCATGAAGATCAGAAAAAAACACTGCACAGAATTTTCTTTCTTTCTCCTCCCCCTTTGATATGATTAATACTGTGGGCATTTTGATAAGGCTTTTTTTTTTTCTTCTTTTTTTTTTTTTTTCAGGAAAACTATGAGAATTTGCTGCAGCCCAAAGAGTCACAGAATCACTTAGGTTAGAAGGGACCTCTTGAGGTTATCTAATACAACACTAATGTGATTGACAGGGATCCCCAGTACAAGAAAGATGCAGATTTTCTAGAGCAAGTCCAGTGAAGGGCCACAAAGATGATTAAGGGAATGAAACATCTGACATACAGAGAGACAGAGAGAGAGCTGGGATATGAGACAGAGAGAGAGCTGGGATTTTTTAGCCTGGAAAAGACAGAGCTTGGAGGGGGAGGTGTTACATGGGTATAAATGCCAAATAGGAAGAAGTAAAGAAAACAGAACTAGACTCTCCTCAGGGGTGCCTAGTAACAGGACAACAGGCAATTGGCACAGACTGAAAAATGGGAAATTCCACTTAAACTTAAGGAAAAAGATATAACTGAGGGGATGGTTAAACACTGGAGCAGCTTTCACAGAGAGGTTACAGAATCTCCACTCAGAGATGTCCATATCAACAGAAACTTCTTTTTGTTGACCCTGCTTTGGACAAAGGGCTTGGACTAGATGATCTCCAGAAGTCCCTCCCAAATTTTGTGATTTTATGATCCTATGAACACTAAACTTCAAAAAAACCTCACATGTTGCTTGCTAAGAGCATGTACAGGTATAGTTACAGAGATTCACTAAAGTATGGTAATTTGTTGAGCCATGCTAATAGACCATTAGTAATGAAGCTGTTTAAGATCCCTACTGATGAAAAAAGGTCTGGTGACTTCACTGTTAGATGTGGTTCAATAGCTGCACCACAAAGCCTTGTTTGCTGGAATGGCAAAAAGGGATATGAACAACATGACCATGGTCTAGGGTCAGAGTAACTGATGGAAACCATCCTCTTATCAGTCCGTCTATGGTTTGTTTGTTTGTTTGTATCTTTCTATGATATATCAAATGGGCAGATAATGCAAGAATGACTACAGTAATTTAAATCAGTTCTATCATCAACTAACGAATTCCTTTAATTGCCAAGTCATGGTGCTAAAAGCCACTCTGCTATTCAAATCTAAATCTACAATAAAAACTGCAAATACATATAACCATGTTTCTTACTTGGTTTCACAAGAAGCTTTGTCCCTTTTCCAAAGATGATGGTATAGCCAGCATTCACACAATGATAAACAAGACAACAAAAACCATCCCTGCAGCCATCACATCCATGGCTACAAATATAGGTTATGTGATCTAATCACAGGAAATTTAAAACAAAATACAGCACTTCCTTCATGGAAAGATGGGATTATGCGAATTTAAATGCCTAATCAAACTGCTATTCCTCTCTTGGATACTCTGCATCTTGGGATTTTCAAATGAAGGTAAGAGAAGTAAGACAGTGCTTCAAACACATCTAGAATCCATTATATTAGGTGAGAGCAGTGCTCTGGTAATGACCTAACATAATAGAATAAATAAACACTAATTTCCACTTTGCTACTGCATATCATGTAATTTTTTTTTATTATTTTTTTTTTTTGGCCCATGTTTTCAAGACAGTTAAAACATTTTAGCAAATCAGCTCTTGGTTTCATGAAGGTTGATATATGGGGACATCTCCTTATTACTCCCTTTTATCCTTCCCCTCCCCATGTTTAAGTATTTTAGGAGTTATGCGTCTGTAAATTTACAATGAGCATGCACAAAATTTGGCAGGAATTTGTCAACTACATTTGGACTTATCTTTAAGGAGACTTCTTGATTTTTCTCAATGTAAAGAGTTACATAGCAGTGTGGACACAAAAACACACACACACACATTAAAAAAATAAAAAAATAATAAAAAAAAAGCATTTTAACATCCACTTAGCAACAAAATCAGCATTTCCTGAGGGCTGAAGTTACTTTTTCTCTCCTGGAACACAGCCCCCAGGACATGACTGTGGAGTGAAATTGCAACACACAGGGATTAACCCACCTACTTGGCAAGAGGGTAACCTTAACCCCTGAGCCAAAAGTGAATTTGAGGGTGTTGTCACAACAGCACAGCACTTGACAGAAACCCAGAGGGTTCAGATTCCAGCAGATGACACTGCCACCACTCAGGCTGTATCGTAGACTCTTTACTTACATTCCGGGCAAGTGGGATGCTGAGATTCAGCTGGAAACCAGCTGGTTTCTGCAGTGTGGATTTATGGTGTGCAATTTCACTTTCTTGGCTTTTTCAGGAGTCCTCTCACTGCAAGCTATCTGCTCACAAACATAAGGTTCCTACTTTCACTGCCCACAAGATATCCAGGCTGAAAACTATCATATTAATCCACAGCTTTTCTTTCTCTGGTTACACTCAGAACAACAGTCTACCTATCAGAGCTAGGTAGCATGACTAGCAGGAAACAGCTGGATCATGCACAGCCTGGACCTACCCTGAAATAGCTAAAAGACCCAAGTAAGGAATAGAACTGATTTCCATTACGCATTCCCCATGAGCCATACACAGACACAATGAACAAGATGGTCAACCTATCCATCTCCCTAAACAACACCACACTTTCTGCACCCTCCCAGACTATCAGCGGCCTAGAGCACCATGTTCACAGCATCTTTATCTCAATAGAAGAAGTTCTCCACATAGAAAAAAATTAGTAGGCACAAGAGCATCTTTCAATGGTGATTGCTAACTTGTGTGGGGATTTCATCAAAGATCATTATCTCAGAGACACCTCTGATGGCATACTTTGGCAGCAACAAATGAAATAGCGCCTAAACACTCCTTCCCCTCTGTAAGGAGACATAAATACCACGAGGATGTCTACAGAATGAAACACTGGATACGTAAGGATATCTGACAAAGGATAAACAGGAAAGCTGAGCACTCACTTGGTTGGACAGACAGCCTGGTCCCTGAGCCAAAGGTCAGTTTGCCATATCCAGAGCCATAGCCACACAGCATTTCCTCCCATAACAAAAAACCCAAGCAGTTCATATGGCTTTCTTGTGCCTCAAAATGCCAGAACTCATCTCAGGCCCCTGCTCATCTAGGGCTGTTCACAGTCACAAAGTAATCACCCCTGACATGCCTTTGTAAATAGCTTTCCCACCATTCCAGGGACAAACTTCTGCCCTAACATCTCTTCTTCCCAAACACCTCACAGCTCTGCCATACCCAGAGAGAACACACAGGCTTGTGCACACTCATAAAAAGCCTGACCAAAACTTACATTCCAGCATTACTGTCCGAGCTATTTCTGCCTCGCCCAGCAAGGACAAGTAATACCTGTAACTGTACTCACGAGGCTTTACACAAACCTTTGTTCCAGCTCCAAAGGTGAGCGTCTTACTGGCAGCACTCACAGTAACAAATACCGTTATGCAAAAGCTCTCATCTCCCCATAATAAGGAAGCCCTTCGTATGGCTGGCAGAGACCCTTCCCAAAAACACACAGGTCACCCTTTCCCAAGGACATGAAGACCTCGAGATAACCTTGGCCCCAACTACCCAAAACCTCATTAAATACTGCATCCAGGGAGCTCTCAGAGCCTGCACAGGGAGAGAAGGCATTTCAGCTTGGCAAAGCTGAGGGTAAAGGATGAAAATGGAACAACATCTGTAGCGAGAGTCCCATATGGAACACCTATGGAAAGCTCCACACTCACTTGGTTGGACGGACAGCCTGGTCCCTGAGCCAAAAGTCAGCTGGCTGTAGCCAAACACACAGCATTTCCACCCATTACAAAAAGCCTGGCTCGCTTTGTCATCACAAAGGCAAATCCCTACCAAGAGGCAAGGAAACCAGTCTGACAGTGCAAAGGGAAGGAAAGAACGAGACATGTAAGGGAGACAAAGTAGCATAAAAAACTGCAAGAAGCCCAAGTCATTGGGACATGTGGGGAACCCAAGTCCTAGGGATGCTCAAAGAATAGCCCAGTTGCTTTTCGGAAGTTCTTCCCCTGAAAAAAAAAAAAAAAAAAAAGAAAAAAAAAATGGAGAATAAGGTAAAAGGGAAGCCACTCCGTTTTACAGCACGATTTTCTGAGTATCTGGTACAACTGAAAGCACAATTCCTTTTCCAAAACTGACTTTGCCCGCATCATACACAATGTCGCACATCCTATTACAAAAATATCTCTGCCAGCCCTGTACATGATCTCAAGCACAAAGCACCTGGAGTCAGGTCATGGCAGAAGTCCCTGACACAACAGGCTTAAGGACAGGGCCACTACCTGCAAAAAGGAAAATCCATTCCCTAGCCAACTTGCTCTTTTCAGAGGAGTGTTCCCTGTTGCCTTAGATAATTGTTAAGCCCCACAACTGACAAGGAACCACACACAACAGAGGGAAGCTCTGAACAGATGATATGACCTCAGGAAAGCCAGTACTGGGGGATTGTCAGGGAACAAAGCATGCAGACTTCAAGTTGACCTTTGCTCCAACCACCCAAAAAAAACCATTAAATACTGCACCCAGAACACTCTCAGAGCCTACAAGGGGAGAGAAGGCATTTCAGCTCGACAAAGGTGAAGTTAAAGGATGGAAATGGAAGAACACCTGTAGCAAGAGTCCCATATGGAACATCTATGGAAAGCTCCACACTCACTTGGTTGGACGGACAGCCTGGTCCCTGAGCCAAAGGTCAGTTTGTAGTTCCCATAGTCACACAGCATTTCCTCCCATTACAAAAATCCCAGCCTACCCCACTTGAGAAACACCACCTCTCCTCAGTCCCTGCTTCCCTGTCCTGACAAACTGTCTCAGCAGATGTCAAGATCCTCTGTCTACCATTCAGTGCTGCACACTCCTGACAAACCGTGCACCACTCCACTTGTTGGGGGCGAGGAGGAGAAGATGGAAAAGACGGGACCAGAAGAGCCCAGCTCAGGAAAGAACACTGGAAATAGGGGCTGTCTTCCTCCCAAACCCTACCTTTCTGTTACATTACAGTTAAAATGTATTGAAGCACCTCTAAGATGTTACAGAGATAGACACCCACCACTTGCATGCACTTTTTTTTTATTTTTGCAGTCTCCTGGAGAGCTTGAGGAACAAGGTAAGTACAACACCAAAGTTGTCTGAAGCATCAGTTGTCCAAGACACACATAGCAATCAATGCTCAGAGCAAAGGGAAGGAAAGAACCAGGCAAGTAAGGGAGATGAGGTGCCATAACAAACTGCAGAGAGCCCAAGGCACTGGGACCTATGGGGAAGCCAAGTCCTAGGGATGCCCGGAGAATAGCCAGTTGCGTTCCCAATGTTCTCCCCACAAAACAATGAAGAACAAGACAAAAAATTGATAATTAGATTTTGAGGCAAAAAAAGCATGTTTCAATGGTGATTGCTCACTTGTGTGGGGATTTCATCAAAGATCATTATCTCAGGGACACTTTGGTGGTTTGCAATGGAAAAACAAATGAAATAGTGTCTACACACCCCCTCCCCTCTGTAAGGAGGTGTGGATAACACACAGGGATGTCTACGAGATGAAACACAAGATATGTACGGACATCTGACAAAAGATAAACAGGAAGCTGAACACTCACTTGGATGGACAGACAGCCTGGTTCCAGAGCCAAACTTTAGTTTGCCATATCCAGAGCTAGAGCCACACAGCATTTCCTCCCATAACAAAAAGCCCAGGCAGCTCCTGCAGAAGTGGCACTTGTCCTCAAAGCTGAGCCAAACAGTGTCAAGGCTAGGAGGGGCAGCAGAGGGTAAGATGGGTCTGAAGGATCCTAGGCCGCAAGTGGAGGTTAAGAGTCTGGCTTCACGGAATGTAACAGGGCCCAAAACTGAGAAACATCTCCCCAGTACCCCCACTACACCTGACCCTACAGTACTGCTGCGCAGTCCACTGGCTTGCCATCAAAAAGGAAAAGACAATTTCATTTTTAGTATGATTTGCTGCTTACCTGGTACAACTGAAAGCACAGTTCCTTTTCCAAAAGTGACTGTGCGGTCATCATACACACTGTGGCATATCTCATTACAAAAATGTCTCTGCCAGCCCTGCATGTGATCTCAAGCAAAAAGCACCTAGACTGATGCCATGGCAGAGCTCCCTGACACAACAGGTTCAAGCTCAGGGTCACTACCTGCAATAAAGGAAAATCCGTACCGTAGTTCAATTGCACTTTGCAGGGGAGCATTCCCTGTCACCTTTGGTAATTTTTATGCTTCACAAGTGACAACTCTCACCTACAGTAACTCTTGCCCAGAATCAGGGGGACCATGTGTGTGGCACTTCTTCTGTGCACAAAGCATGTGGAAAACCATCATGCCAGGCCATCCATGTATTTCAGAGACAGCTGTGAGATGTCAGGACTGCTGCTTCTGTCAAGAGCCAAAGCCTTTCCTGATGTAAAGCACATCACGGGTGGCTCTGCAACTGCAGAAGCACAAGGTCTGAGAACCGCAGCAGACTGAGGCACGTTCAGATAGCATCTCATGAACAGCCCTGCAAGAGCCATGAAAAAAACATTTGGTCAGCAACTACACAAGCTTGATTAAGAGAAGATGTTAAGCAAAAGCATGCTCCTGGTAGCCTCCTTTGCTACAAAGTGCTACTGTGCGCTCGGTGCTTGTACTCACGGTGTTTTACCGTCAGTGACATTCCATTACAGAATCTCATCTTTCCAACTCCTGCATTATACACACAGTGTTTTCTCATGCCTCAAAACACCAGGAATTGCCTTGGGACCCGGCCCGGCTGAGCATGCACTGCCATGGCCAAAAAGCAATCACCCCTGACATGCCCTTATAAATAGCTTTCCCTCTGTTTCAAGGACAAACTTCTGCTCTGACACCTTTTCTTCACGAAACACCTCACCACTCTGCTATAATCAGAGAGAAGGCACAGGCTTGTGCACTCTCAAAGTGAGCTTGACCAAAACTTACACTCCAACATTACAGTCTGGGCTACATCTGCCTTGCCTTGCAAGTAACTGTACTCACCATACTTTACACAACGCTTTGTTCCAGCTCCAGATGTGAGCCTCTCCCGGTCAGCAATCACAACAACAAAGACCATTATGCAAATGTTCTCATTTCCCCATAACAAGGAAGCCCTTCGTATGGCTGGCAAAGACCTTTTCCAGCAATACATAGGTCACCCATTCCCAAGGGCATGCAGACCTCAAGTTGAGGCTTGCTCCAACCACCCAAAAACTTCATTAATAATGCACCAAGGGCACTCTCAGAGCCTGCACAGAGAGAGAAGGCATTTCAGCTTGGCAAAAGCTGAGGGTAAAGGATGAAAATCGAACAAAATCTGCAGCATGAGTCCCATTGGAACACCTTTGGGAAGCTCCACACTCACTTGGTTGGACAGACAGCCTGGTCCCTGAGCCAAGGTCAGTTTGGTGTGTTCCCATAGTCGCACAGCATTTCCACCCATTACAAAAAGCCCAGCTCGCTTGTCATCACAAAGGCAAATCCACAACAAGGTGCATGGAAACCCCGTCTGCAGTGCAAATGGAAAGAAAGAAACAGGCATGTAAGGGAGATTAGGTGCCATAAAGAACTGCAGGGAGCCCAAGGCATTGGGACATGTGGGGAACCAAGTCCTAAGGATTCCTGGAGAATAGCCAGTTGCGTTTCCAAACTTCCCCCCCAAAAAATGAAGAACAAGGTAAAACTAAAGCAGCTCTGTTTTTCAGAACGATTTTCTGCATACCTGGGTACAACTGAAAGCACAGTTCCTTTTCCAAAAGTGACTTTGCCCGCATTGTATACACTGTGGAACATCTCATTACAAAAAATGTCTCTGCAAGCCCTGCATGTGATCTCAAGCACAAAGCACCTGGAACCAGTCACAGCAGAGCTCCTTGACACAACAGGCTCAAGTGCAGGGCCACTACCTGCAATAAAGGAAAATCTGTTCCCTAGCTCAATTGCACTTTTCAGAGGAGCGTTCCACTGCCTCATGTTGTAATTATTAAGTCCCACAAGCAACAACTCTCACCTACGGTAATTCTTGCCCAGAATCAGGGGGGACCATGTGTGTGGCACTTCTTCTGTGCACAAAGCATGTGGAAAACCATCATGCCAGGCAATCCATGTATTTCAGAGACAGACGTGAGATGTCAGGACTGCTGCTTCTGTCAAGAGCCAAAGCCTTTCCTGATGGAAAGCACATCACGGGTGGCTCTGCAAACTGCAGAAGCACAAGGTTTGAGAACCACTGCAGACTGGGGCATGTTCTGATAGGCATCTCATGAACAGCTCTGCAGAGCTGTGAACAATGCCTTTGGTCAGCACCTACACAAGTTTGATTAAAAGAAGTCAAGTGAAAGCATGCTCCTGATAGCCTCCTTTGCTACAAAGTGCTACTGTGCGCTCGGTGCTTGTACTCATGGTGTTTTACAATCAGTGACATTCCATCACTGAATCTCATCTTTCCAGTTACTGCATTATATAAACAGGGTTTTCTGCTGCCTCAGAAACACCAGGACTTGGTTCAGGCCCCTGCTCCAAACCGAGCAAGCGCTGTCCATGCCACAAAGCAACTAACTGTCCCTGACATGCCTTTGTAAATAGGTTTCCCCTCTGTTCAGGGACAAATTTCTGCTCTGATGCATCTTCTTCCCACAGCATCTTGCAGCACTGCCATACCCAGAGAAAAGGCACAGGCTTGTGCGCACTCATAGGAAACCAGACCAAAACTTACACTCCAACATTACTGTCTGGGCTATTTCTGCCTTGCCCTGCAAGGCTAAGTAATAACTAGCTTGGTGAAGCTAGTCACACAGCATTTCCTCCCATTACAGGGCTAAGTGCCCTGTAACTGTACTCACCACGGTTTACACAAAGTTTTGTTCCAGCTCCAAAGATGAGCCTGTTCAAAATATTAC